CTTGCTAATTGTGCATCAGAACGATTTGCATGCAGCTACTATAGAACATGTGCGTGGCCGACCTACATACTACGATGGAAGTCGAAAGGTTCATCTACAAGCCGACGGTATGTCGGGAGCGATCCATTTGAAGTTTGGCACATTATTCTTTCAATTAGGTAAACTACTAGAAAAAAACACGCGACGTTGCCGCGTGCAACACTCGATGGGCCACACTATTTGGCCGTATTGAGACAGAATGATCAGTTTAACAACAATGCAAGTTGTAGCAAAATACTATATTGCACAATCATGATTACTACAGCAGAGTATTAAATTTTAAAAATTAATCTATGGCATATAATGTGATATAGACTGTATAATCTGAACAAAACACAATAGTTATCCTATATACTTATATAGTTCATCTCCACTAAGTGTAGTTAATGCTATTTCTCTCTTCTCATTAACCCACATCACCCTAATTATTTCTAGCCTTTGGATGATAGATCTATGGTCTAAATTGTTTCTTCTTTCTTCTCTCTTAAAAACATGCAATCTCAATTACTTTTAGGCTCAAAATTGTATCAAATTGTTTTTAGTTTTGTACATATTATGCAACTTAATTTTCCGCAGCAACGCCGCGGGGTATGAGTATGTGACATATTATAGACATTTGATCTGGAACTTAAATAATGGAAGATTTTAATAAAGCTCCCTATCAATTTTGTATTAGAGTAACTGGAAAGTAGATGAGTGTAGGTTCTTGGTGAGTGCTAAATACATCAAAAATAAATTGGCTGGTAGATGAGAGGATAACAAAAGTATCCAGCTTGGGCTATAAATAGCAAAAGTCAGTGTTTTCTTCTTCATTATTTTCCCAAAAAAAACAATAATTAGAATCCTTGTCAAAGTATGTTACTGAGGAACCAGCAATTCTTTCTCATGCAATACTTAACACAATGCAGTAGCTAGGTTGGGCAAGTATGAGGTTTCTATGTAGTGTCAGGTATATATGTGAATACTACATGTAAACAGGGTATCTGGTAGGTAACCGTGAAATTGAAGCAGCCATATAAGGTAATACACTTGCTTGAAATGGTGCCAAGCTTATGCACAGTACAGTAGTAGGTTAATTATATGATTGAAAAACAAATGATTTTAAATATGAGCAATTGTTTACCTGATCATTACTGTTCGGATCTTCATAAGCTCTTTTGCCTGACAAACTGCTTGTCTCTAAATTACATGGCTCAGCTTCCATGCTCTGAATATCTTGGGGTGGTTCTCACTAAATTAAGTGTGTCAATTTTTCACTATAGTGGCAGAACAGAGAAATTTAACCACCAGATAATCACAGGAATAAATATTCGAGGAATTAAATTAAGTTAACCAACTGAAAGTCTGAAACTTCTTATGCATGGGTAGTCTCCTAGTCAATACAAGCCCCAAAGCTGGAGCTAAGCAAAGACTTAACAAATAAAATTCAAATGTTATAATTAATCATTGGCGAAATTGTCAAACAAAAACAGAAAACCTCATGATATTGGAACTTGGTAGAGTAGGAGTAGTACCAGCATCACTAAACAAAATATATTCTACAAGGGTTCTATCTTCTTAATGAAGATGGTCCTCATTATGCGTTTACAATAACAAAGGGACAGTAAAACTTCTTTCCGAATGCTTCCATTCCCAATAACTTATACTATAACAAATAGTCTAATATATATCAGTGAAGTAACAGATCTAGCTGGTTTTTTTTTAAGAATGAAAAATCTGCAATATTTATATCACTAATACATGTGATTGCCATTCACTGAACTCGCGAACGTCGTCCTCGCGGTGCAGGACGTGCTCGCCGTAGAGATACCGGCCGAAGGCCACCGCCTCCTCCTCGTGGTGTTGTCTCTGTGCAGGACATGCTTGCCGCAGAGGTACCGGCCGGAGGTCGCTACCTCTTTCTCCCGGTGGATCAGACAAGATGGAGAATGAATGTGAAACAATGACAAGAGAAAAGAGGAACGATTATAGAAGATGAAGAGTGAATCAAGATTATAGAAGACCAAGAGTCGTGACCCTTCCGGAAATATCAGGTGGCTTTGCACTTTTTGATTTTACTCCAACGTAAGATTGTTTTTTATATTTTAGTCCTTCTCAAGTGTGGGAGCGCACGCACGAACCACGCTGTGCCACGTGGCATCGCTAATTGCTCGATAATTTGCACGGATTTCGATAGTAAGAGATTGGTTGGTAGCGATGGGGTATCGGCTGGTATCAATGAATATCAACTGGGTATCGCCTGTTACCGATGGATATCAACATGGTTCCAACGAGGCATTGTCTAATACTAATAAAAAATATCCCTTGATCCTCTGCCCATGTAAAAAAGTACTTTTCAGAAAACTACAACTTTGGTAACAAAATTATCAGTGCAACAATAGCATGGAAAATTATCACAAAACTGTAATTTTTACGTTATATCTTGCTACAGTTGTCACCTATATATACTGTAGCAGTATATAACGTAAAAATTACAATTTTGTGGTAATTTTACACGCTATTGTTGCAGCAATCTGAAACATGTCGCTAATATTACAGCAAACTGATAGTTTTGTTAGTAAAGTTGTAGTTTTCTAAAATTTACTCTTATTAAAATATAGTAATTTCTCCATCTAATTCTCATCTTAACAGCTCAACTAATTACAATCATATTTTTTTAATGAAATTTTTTATCCACGTCTTTTCTCATACAACCCCCCATACACACACACAAACACACACACACACACACATATATATATATATATATATATATTCTATTTAATTTCACCTAACTCCTTAATTACTGTGCAAAACTATTTTTAAAATCCCTCTCACAAAGACGGAGGGGGAGTGGGGTAGTTGCTACTCACCTGTCTTGCTGATCCCTCTCAAAAACCTCAGTTCGATCTTCTCTGTCGGTGCTTGAATGACGCGTAAAGATGGGATTTCTAAGTACTCCATCCGTCCTTAAGAAAAACTTAGTATAACGAATTTATACGAAGGGTAGTTCAGAGGAAGTATGCTGACTTGATTACTGCGTGCATTGGCACTTCAACGAGACATAATTGATGAGCTGACTATACGTGGAGCTGCATGCATGAACATGTAGCAGGGGAGTCCTCTCTCCGTCCCATAAAAAATATTAATCTAGTACTAGATGTAACATATTTTAGTACTATAAATTTGAATATATCTATTTAAATTCGTTGTGTTAGAATATATCACATTCAGTGTTTAATTTATTTTTTATGAGACGGGAAGAGTATGTTGCTAAGAGCAGGTACAATAGTAGGCTATAAGCCAGCTGCAAACATAATTTAAGAAGATAAATAAGGAGAGAGAAGAGCAGCGGACTACAGATTTATAGCCAGCTGTAGCACAGACTCCAAGATGCAGTGTATGTATGACAGGTGGAACCAAGTATTAATAGTGTAGTATATAACTATTGTATAGATAAGCTATCATATTAGTTATAGATAAATTAGAGCTAGTAGTTGGCTATACTATTAAACTTGCTCTAACGCTAGCTACTCAGCTCCACGAGGGAAACGTGCACTAGCTAGCTGCCATGATGTACTAGGTACGTTGTACTAGTGTACCACAGATTCAGTCATAGGTAAGGAGTAGTAGGAGCACTATTGAGCAGAGGCAATTAAAGAGGTACTAGAGGAACGTACTAGAACGAACGTGTGGCTGACTAGTTGAACTGATCCTGATCGAGGCACCCACTCGGCCACTCGGCCCCTCCTCACGTGGACATGCACTACTTTGCTATTTTTAAGCACTCCCTGCGGGATATTTAACACTGTTATTAACTTTAAAAATATTTAACCATACATCTTATTTTTGAAAATAATATGAATATATAAAAAAATATAAATTATAACAAAATAAAATTACGTAATTTTCTGAATAAGACGAATGGTTGAATTTCACTCTGTTTGTTACTTCGGGTGCGTCCGAATCGGCTTCCCTAAGATAATTTTTAGCGAGACGTAAAATGAGATAAGCTATTAGCACGTAGTTAATTGATTATTAATTACTATAAACTTGAAATTTGAGTTTATTTTTTTAAATCTATATAAAATGTATTAAAAATACCGTTTAGTAATTTAGGAAACGTTCTCATGGTTTAATGAAGGAGTAGTTTTTTTAACTTACGAAGGAGTAGTTTAGCTGAGTTGTAGAATCAAATGAAGGTGAGTCCATTTCATATTTAGAATATTGTAGATGTAACCTAAGTTAATTTCTTAAAGTTTGACTAAATCTATTAAAAAACAGCAATATTTTACACACAAAATAAATATACTATACAAATAGATTCAATGATGGATTTAATAAAACTAATTTGGTATTGCTAATGCTATTTTTTTACAAACTTATCAATTTTAAAGAAATTGTCAGTTTTAATTATCTACAGTTAAATAGAGAACACGTTCATAATAAGTACTAATTAACAAGCACAACGGCACAAGCATGAAGAAATTGCAAACCGCTCGGTATTTTTTGAGCATTTAACAAGATTTAAACTTGAACACTGATACAGATGTACGTACTCCACTCCCACGTTTATCACCAGCTGGCTCGTATATAGTATTGGGTTTGTTCATATGTGGCGGTGGGATCGAGATTATCTAACTTGAGTTATTAACATATCGGTTATCAACCCAGTGAATTTATATGTTAGTGACTTAAAGTTAACGAGAAGCAAGTAATATAACCGATATCTCCTATGACGGTAAGTACATGGTATTTCCTCCGTATTTTAATGTATGATATCGTTGATTTTTTTACCAACGTTTTACTATTCATCTTATTAAAAAAAATTAATAAAATGAGTGATCGTTAAAATATCAATAGCTGTCATACATTAAAATACGGGGAAGTACGTACAATTAGAAAAATGATTAACCAATTGGGAGCACGACTACGCGCTGTCGATCTCTATATATAGGAGCCACTGCCCACGGAGAGTGGCCGGAACATATACAGACGTCCCTCGTCTCTTCACCTCCGGCGGCCGCCTTACACCCGGCCACCAGCTTGTTCGTCGCCGGCGAGCTAGCTTCCTCCTCTCCGGGCTCCGGCGTCTCCGCCGGCCGGCTGGCCTGTTCGTCGTAGTATATATATCGTCGTCGTCTCCGTCGACGACAAAACTGTGTAGTGCCACTGATCGCGACCCGGCCGGCATTATTGAGGCTGAGGCAACGATCGACCTGACACAAGAAGAAAGAAGATGGTGAACACGACGGCGGGCGTGAAGTGCGGCGGCGGCGGGGCGGCGCTGCCGCTGTCGACGCTGAACCACGTCTCCCTGGTGTGCCGGTCGCTGTCCACCTCGCTCACCTTCTACCGCGACTTCCTCGGCTTCGTCTCCGTCCGCCGCCCGGGCTCCTTCGACTTCGACGGCGCATGGTATATACTCCATCCGTTTCAGGTTATAATACGTTTAACTAAATTACTTTAAATTTAACTAAATTTATAGATAAATATAATAATATTTACATCACTAGATTAGTTTTATTAAATTAATAGTTAGATATATTTTTATAATAAATTTATCTTGGATAAAAAATATTATTTGACTTTTAGCAAGGTCAAAACATCTTGTAACCTGAAACGGAGGGAGTATATATATACGCCCGGAGGGAGTATATATATACGCCCATCCATGCCAATGTGTACACTAAATTTTGTTCTTGGCGATGGCCGGCATTTCGACGATTTGATTGCTGCATGAATTGAAAGTCTGAAACTGCAATGTTTCATTTGATGATTCAGGCTGTTCAACTACGGCATCGGCATCCACCTGCTGCAGGCAGAGGACCCGGAGAGCATGCCACCCAATAAGGAGATCAACCCCAAGGATAACCACATCTCATTCACGGTAACAACCGTTGATTATATATACAACTTACATACAGAATCAACCTCAAGAGAATGAGATGCAAAGTGATAGTAAAGTAAAAAGAGAGATGAGAAAAAATGACAAGAGTGGGATACCTGATCGATGCATGCATGAGGGCAACTACGACGTTGACATTATAATATAGGAGCGACTTGTATGCCATATTAATTGTCAGATACTCAGATATATATATTCAAGATCCACTATATACTGATAAATAGAGATAATGTGTAGGAGTAGTTGCCCTGCCCTAGAATACATATTCTTGGTTCTGATAGAAGTGGATTAAGCATCTATTGAATGAAGCAACATAGCACATGCATGCTCCCTCAGATCTGGGGATTGATGATGATCATCCTCACAAGATTAATTGAGAACCAAGAGAAACTAATTTCAAATAGTGTCGGCTAACCACTAGCACATTATTATTCCAAACTCAGTAGGTGCAGTTGGCTAGTTGTTAATTAATTTCTGCATCAAGATTATATATATTTCAGCTCCCAGTCAGTTTAGCAGATTATATATATTCCAGCTCCCAGTCAGTTTAGCACAACTAACAATTGATGTTCATATAATACCACAACATTGCAATTACCGCTACCATGACTCGTGGATACATTCTTTAATTTGGAGATATGAATTGAAATCGGTCGAAATGATATATAACGTGTAATCGTCTATACTCCTTTAAAAGATACCAGTGGTAATAACAGTGAATATGTTACTACCACAGTGCCACCCCACCACTCCTTAAGCAGTTTTTATAAATCATCTCTTGGTATTTTCTGATATTATGGAATAGTCCATTTGATTCAAATGAGTGAATACCATATATTTTAATAAAAAAACAAGTAAAAAAATATATTTTGTGTAAAACATATCATAATATATTTTCTTTTACACCTAGCAAAACACGAGCATTTTTACTAGTACGCATAAAAATATGAATGTGTGGCATGGCAGTGCGAGAGCATGGAGGCGGTGCAGCGGCGGCTGAAGGAGATGGGCGTCCGGTACGTGCAGCGGCGGGTGGAGGAAGGCGGCGTGTACGTGGACCAGATCTTCTTCCACGACCCCGACGGCTTCATGATCGAGATCTGCACCTGCGACAAGCTCCCCGTCGTCCCCCTCGACGCCGCCGCCGCCCACTCCATCTTCGCCGGCCGCTCGCCGCCGCCGCCCGTCGCCTGCAAGATCAGGCCCGTCAAGCAGCCGTCGGCGACGAAGCTGGGCAGCGTCGCCGCCGGCGGCTGTGTTGGGGAGGTCATCGTCGTCGACGCGATCAACGGCGCCGCCGCCGCCGGCGGCGGCGGCGCGATGAGCTGAGGAGACTTGTGGCATTGCTGATCCAACGAGGAATCATTGATTTGATGAATTGTTGTTCAACTTTAATTTTGGTCGTGATGATGATTAAGGTGTATGTAATTCGATCCGGTGATTAATTTGTCTCTCGCTGCCCAATAATATTTGCGTAAATTAATTAATTACCTGTGGTCGTCACTAGCTAATTCATCAACGTACGTTGAGTGACCAGAGATTAGCAGGACAAACTGAAACTAGCGCGCGTACGTAATATTTGATTCCCTCCGTTCAAAAATATATGACGTATTTTTTACCAGTCTAAAAACACAAAACTTTGACCGTAAATTTCTTTTGTACTATTTCGTCTATGGTTACAAATCATGAATCCACCAATATTTTTTTAGGTAAAAATCTAAATATTATTAAATTAATAGCTTGTCAAAGCTTAAAATTGGGCGGTCGAAATACATGCATCTTATATAAGGACGGAGAGAGTATACGAGTACGCAGCAGCTCTGCTAGCAATTACTGTCTTTGAATTCATTCACGAGATGTAATGTTTCCTTTGCTGCTTTGCACACGTAGTAGGCCGCACTGAGTGAGCAAGATAAGATAAGATAAGAAAATTCCTCATTTTTGCGTGCGCTTCGCGAGGTGCAAAGCTATGTGTTTTCTAAGAAAAAATTGTAGAAAAGTTACATAAAAAATATATTAATCTATTTTTTAAATTTAAAGTAATTAATATTTAATTAATCATGTGCTAGTGGCTCATCTTACTTTGCATGCATATACATATCTTCTTCAATTTCCTATCCTCAAGTACAGCTGTAGTATGTGTTATATGCGTGGTATTTATACATTGTTCTTGTAATAATCAGTGCTGTCAGCACATTGTATTACGTTGTTGAATTCACAGACAAGTAGCACCTGGAGATCAGTTGCGTTCAAAATGTGTAAATCCAGTAATATATTGTGCAATGAAGTTAGCAGAAATGACATGCATGCACGCATCACTAACATGCCACAGAACTGATAAAATTTACTATTGGGATGGAGGCATGTGACAAGCTAATATAATAGGAACAGTACCACGCATGATCCACACTGCTCATGCTCCACCATTCTTAATTTCAGGTTGACGATATATTGGTATGCATGTGATCGGATGACAGCTTGTACGTAGTATTAGTCATGTTGCTTCAGGCAGATAACAAATGTATTTTAATTCGATTGGTCAAAGCCGAATTTAAAATTTCCCAGCCCAACCAGCCTGACCGAGGTTTTTAATTTTGGGCTTCCCAAAAAAGAAGTGAAGATTGGAGCCGACGCGCTGTACACTTTACACGAGGGAAAAGTGCAATTTGCATTTCTTAATTATTAATGGTGGAGCTATAAATTTACGTCCCTCAACCGTAAACGGGATATATATAGCCTCCTCCAATTCTTTTTTTTTTCTTTTTTTTACGAACGGCCGGTCAGAATTGACTGGCGTTATATTGATAGAAGGAGAAAAAGTACAGATAGCCAAAGGGCTAAGAAAGAGAAAAACTGTACATGACAACATGCAAACAAGCTTGCACGTAGCCTTCCTAGCTCCTCATGGCAACATTCTCCCAATGTGTTTAGCGCTGGTCATACTTCACCAACCTAATTCCTCTTGGATGCGACTAATCATCTGGTGTGCTGTCGCCTCCTTTGCTCTGAAGATTCTTGCATTTCGTTCCTTCCAGATTTCCCGAGCAATGAGCAAGAAGAGAGTTCTGAGTCCTTTCTATTTTGTTGCTTCCGGGTCGCTTGTTCCTTGTGTCCACCAATTTAAGAGGTTTCTACTTATGTTCCATTTCGGGATGATGTGCCCTTGGTGTAGCCATGTGAGAATCCCAAACCAGATTTGCTTTGAGACCGGCATTCAAACAGAAGATGGTCGATTGTTTCGAGATTTCGAAAGCATAGCTGGCAGAAATAATTATTTGGCCATCCCTTATCTGTAACCGGTCAGATGTCCACACCCGGTTTTGAAGAACCAACCAACTGAAGATTTTGCACTTTGCCGGAGCCCATGCCTCCCAAGACAACTTTGTTGATGGCGAGAGTACCATTCCATTGAATTGGAATTGGTACGTGGATTTTGCACTGTATTCCCCATTAGTTGTCCATTGCCAAACAATCGAGTCTTGTACCCCCTCTGTTAGTTGTGGGGTGTCACGGGCTAAAATTTCCCAAACATGGAAAGAATTCATCAAGAAGGGGAATGGTGAGGCTGTGGCGGATGTCGTTAATCCATCTTCCTTGTTGCAGGGCGTCCTGGACGGTGCGGGGTTCCTCTTTGAATGCCTATAAAGATTCGGTGCTTGACTTTTTAGGCTTTGGCCACCGATCCAATTTGATTCCCAAAAGCTCGCCTTTTGTCCGTCACCAATTTGGACTCTCGTTGATGCCGCGAAAAGATCCTTATCCAATTCATCACAGGGTGTTTCAGTCCCTATCCAAGGCTTCTCTGGCGTCCTCCATTCGAACCATAACCATCTCAGTCGAAGAGCTCTGGCAAACTTTTCTAAGTTCGGAACCCCCAAACCACCGTACCGGACATGTGAGCAAACTTTAAGCCAATTGACCTTGCATTTTCCGCCATGCATATTCTCGTTACCTGCCCACAGGAACCGCCTTCTTGCTTTGTCAATTTCTTGAAGAGATTGTTTCGACGGTTTCAGCACCTTGAGGGTGTAAGTTGGGATGGCACTTAGAACTGAGTTCACCATAATTCGGCGCCCCCCCCCAATGTACAACAATGATGGTTTCCATCCCGAGAGCCGACCTTTGATCTTATCCTGGAGAGGCTGGAAATGCACCTTACGTAGGCGGCCAGGAGTGAGTGGTAGCCCTAGGTAAGTCAGTGGGAAGCTGGCTCTTGCCCCCGAAAAACTACGCAAGATGTCGTCCAGATCTACTTCCTGGCATCGAATTGGTGCCACCAGACTTTTTCCAAGATTGACGTGCAGCCCTGTTGCCTTGCCAAAGTCCCTAAGCATGGTAATTAGAACATCCACCTCGCTTTGTACAGGGTTGAGAAAAACAGCTGCATCATCTGCATAAAGCGAAGTCCTCAATCTAGCATGGCGACTTCCGATGTTGGTTAGTTGCCTACCTTCGGTCGCCAGATGTAGAAGCCTTTGTAGGGGGTCGATAGCCAAGATAAAGAGATAGGGGGATAGGGGGTCCCCTTGCCTCAAGCCACGTCTGTGTGCAATGCATTCCCCCTGGTCTCTATTTAGGACTACCTTGGAAGTGGCGGTGGAAAAGAGCAAACAGATCCAGTTTCTCCACTGGGGGCCAAAACCCATGTTTTGCATCAATTCAAGTAAATATTCCCAGGAGACCGAATCAAAAGCTCTAGCAATGTCTAGCTTGAAAAAAAGTGTTGGCTTTTTGCTGGCATTTAGGTTCCTGAGCACGTTCCGAACATACAGGAAGTTGTCTTGAATGCATCTTTTTTTTATGAAGGCGCTCTGTGCAACCGAGATCAGGCTATCCATCTGCCTGGCATGCCTTATTGCTAGAACTTTGGATGTCAGCTTGGCGACGGAGTGAATGAGGCTGATTGGCCTAAAATCGGTCACCAAGGTAGGGGCGTTCCTCTTTGGAAGCAAGGTAATTGCTGCTCTGTTGAGTGCTCCAAAGTTTCCTCCTGACAGGTTATACAAACACTAGAAAACATCCATGATATCCTATTTAATTAGATGCCAGCATTTCTTGTAGAAGGTACCATTAAAGCCATCTGGACCTGGGGCCTTTTCTGCCGGCATCTGCTTTAAAGCGGCCCAAACTTCCTTCTCTGTAAAAGGTTCATCTAGTTCATCGGGGTTAACCTGTGGTAGATCCATCGCGTTCCAATTTAGGGTGCAATTTCGCGCCTGGTTGTTGCCTAGGATTGAGTTGAAATGGTTGAAAAGCGCCTCACTTTTTTCCTCATGTTCTGTCAGGATAGCACTTGTTGTATGGAGTTGGTGAATGTGGTTTTTCCTTCTCCTCGAGTTTGCGTGAATGTGGAAAAACTTTGTGTTGGCATCCCCTTCTTTCAGCCATGTCAATCGCGATCTCTGCCTTTTCTTTGACTTTGCCACTGCTGCCAGCCCCAAAATTCTTAGCTTGAGGTCTTTCCTGAGCTGGTGTTCATCGACAGTAAGGATCCTATCCTCCTGGGCCAAATCCAATCGGAGAATCACCTCCTGAGCCACGTGAAATTGCATTTTGATCTCTCCAAACAGACTTCTACTCCACTTCCTGAGAGCTTTAGTGGTGGCAGTCAATTTGTGGCTGAGTTTTGTAAATGGATGTCCACCAAAAGTGTGAGATGACCAAGCTTGTTGCACTACCTCCATGAATCCCGGCACCCGGACCCAGAAATTTTCAAAGCGGAAGACTACCCTTTTGGGTGGGCTTACAGTGGAAGCAAGAAGCAAAGGGCAATGGTCTGAACAGAATGAGGAGAGGGCCTGCAGTGTGTGGTTGGAGAACAGGATGTCACCATCAATATTACAAAAAACTTTGTCAATTCTTTCCAGAGTAGGCGCTTCCCGCTCATTGCTCCATGTGAATTTCCTATTTTGGAGCTTGAGCCTCCTCCAATTCTTAATTACGAGTATAAATGGACTCTCTCGATGGTTTATGATTTTACGATAGAGGGCATGTGAATTAAACCTATTGTTGAAGGGATCATCCTGAACATTGCTCCACGGTAATGTGGCACCGACGCATGAGTTATACTTGATACTGCAGTGTCAAAGGGTGTATGATTTCAGCCTCGAGGTCACATGTTCAATCACTAGCAAACTCTTAATTTTCCCTTAAAAATATATTTGGAGGGATGTCTCTCACTCCAAATCTCGGTTTTTTTATGTGGCACCGACGCACCGTGCGGGCTATTGATTTTGGGCTAGAATGAGTTTGTGGGATAGTGTGGGCCATATTGTTTGGGCCGAAAAGGGAATGAAGCTCACGTGTGGCCCATTCTATTTTTTTTCCGTGCGGCCCACCAAAGAACGGGCCGTTCCTGCAACCGGGGATTCGGATATTTAAAGGAAAAAGTACACCGAAGGTCCCTCAACTTGTCATCGAGTTACAAAATCGTCCCCCAATCGCAAAACCGGATACAACGCATCCCCTTAGATCCCTTGGTGGTTTT